TGAAGCACCTACTTGAATAAAAAGCTGAGGAAAATATATATAAAGTTAAATTAAAACTGAAAATATGAAAATAAAACCTAATTCAAAATACTATAATATTAATACAACACTGCCAAGGGCAAATCCAGGTGTATAGGGGAAATAATCCATCATCTCAAGAGCGTTTTCATGATGAAAATGGGATGTTTTGTTTGCTATGTTAATAAGAGACAAACTTGCAGTTTTCTCTTTCTCTATTTTTCTTATTACGTTCAAAATATTTAACAGGCTTTTGCATTGCCTCTGGCGAAGGTCACAGTGGCCCTAAATAATTATGAATAGCTTTAGGCTAAAAATGCACTCTAGTTTCTGTTTAATGGGCTGAGATGAATTTCAGTTTCCTTTGAATTCAAGTCCAATTTGATGGGGTTTTTTTTACCCCAAGTACATGGCACAGAGCATGTGCTTTTATTCGCATGACAAGCCCACTGGTGTTGAGCTCCCACCACAGTCAAATGGCCATCACCATATAATTACTGGCTTCCGTTTCCAACTGCTTTGTCTCCAGATTGCCTTTAATTGTTGGTGAATTGAAATTATAATTGATCTCGCTGGGTGTAGGAAGTTATCGTTGCATAATTACTCTTGTAAAGTATCCGTCTCAGGCCGTGGACAGTCAACAGCAATGTAGGACACCAAACCTGGTGGGGGTTTTTTTGCGCTAGATGTCACAGATTGTCGTGTGTGGGCATCGGCGAGCTCCTTTGTGAGAGATGTAGACTGTGTTTAGGCTGTCATTACACACACCCCCACCCACTCGGGACAGAAAACCCCGCCTGCAAGAATTTGTTTGTGCTTGAGCAGCTGCTGCGAGGTGTAAGCTTTATTCATAGACTGCTTTCATCTCTGGCGTCGTTGCATTTGGTGGTGTGATGGCAAACCGCCACTCTCGGCCCAGGTTGCGCTGGGATAGTAAGATAGAAAGGGCGGCTGATGTGTCAGCATGTTATTATAGCAGAGTTTGTTTATTATACACATTAATTTTGGCTATCACTATTGATATTCAGCTGTACTAGTCTCAAGGGGCTTTTCCTCAGAAATGAAAATACACCGTCTGCACTGAGTGACACAACAGAGACTTGTTCAAACAAAGTGTGATGTCTTATTTTAGATTGCTTATTTTAACGGCCCACTGCGCAATGGCTTTTTAATTAGCTTTTGAGAGGATGCTAACCTTGTAAAAATGTAACGTCAATGTTGACAGAACAGGCAAATCTTCTAATGACTGTGTGTTGGAATTAATACTGCATAATGAATGCAGAGAAAAGCTTATTTGAAGATTTGATTTCTAACGTAAGCATATTAACCTTTCATGACAGATGTAGCGTGAGATTAGAGATGGTATATATGCATCTAGTGAACCATTTAGTGTAATTTCAACGGCTGTTAAAGGAATAGTTCTTTGTTCTGTTGAACATTAAAAATATATTTTGAAGAATGTTGGAAACCAAACAGCTGCTGGTAGCCACTGATTTCCTTAATATGGAAAAAATGGACGTAAATGGCTACCAAACATAGTTTGTTTACCAGCATTCTTGAAAAAATATCGTTTGTGTTCAGCAGAAAATAGAAATCCGTACAGGCTTGGAACAATGTGAGGGTGAGCAAATGATGACAAAATTTTAATTTATGGGTGAACTATCCCTTTAAACACACCAAAAATTTTGAATAGTCAAATTCCTAATGAAGAACTACACCACTTGCAAAAAGTTGCTGTTACTATATAAGCTGCGTCAAAAGAGTCCAGTAGTGACTGTCTACTTTCATGACGCATTCCTCAAATTATTACTTTTTTGTATGTATCTTAATATTTTGCGAGGAAGTTGCATTGTAACGTAGCATTATAGTGTGACATACAGCGACATAATTTGATGTAAGTGATACAAATGATCTGAAAGGGAAAACAAAAAAACTTTGATGGATAGACTTTGTTCTATCCATTGGCTGAATGCAATCTGAATGTGATCTAAATGTAAGCTTGCAGTCAGTTTTAAGAAAGGGGCAGGGTTTAAGCGGACAAAATGATTGGAGAAATATGGCATTCATCAGAGAGATGTCTGTTGTTTCTCCAGAAGATCAAGTTATGACATTTTGATCACTAGTGCTGAAAAATATTTTAAAAATGAAACCTGCATAGAACAGTTGTTCCGTATAAGATCTGTAAGATGCATTTTGAAAATACATAGTGTGCATTTCTATGTCATGCTGACTTAACATATACAGATTTAATACTTATAAGCAATTACTGTGTCTGAAGTCTGATTCAGTTATGTCATTCACAGTATTTTTTGCTTGGAATCAAATTTTGGCAAGCTTCAACTTAAGCTTCAACTTACTCAACTTCAATTTCAACAAAATTAGATTTTGAAGAAAATTACTGTGAAGAAAATGAATATTGCTTGTCTTATATTACTGTTGCTGCCATTTTTTGCAAGCAACATTGCACTGGAGGTCATAAAGTATGCTGATTTTACCATAGTTAAGGGGCTTTGTGTCATGGCTAACCTTAACAACACCTCTTACCCATGATAAAATCACTGCAATGTAATGGCCTTGAGTGGATTATTGCTTTAATAAAACACACATTGTACAATTAGGGCTTAGTTTTAATCGCTGGTTTATTTGAGGTGTTAAGTTCAAACACTTTTCAGGTCTAAAGTTCCAATTTTTAAAAGAAAAAAAAACAGACTGAATTGTTAGTCATTGTCACTATCCCAGCATTCACACACTCCGCTATTAATGTTAATTTTGTTTCATTTCACACAGCTGAGAAAGAACAAAAGAGACTGGATTACGTTAATACAGTTTTGTTTTTATTCCTTTGTATGGCATTGATGAATAAAACTAAAACAAGTGTTGCATTTATGCCAAGGCTGACAAACGAAACCTCATGAGAATCCAAAAACCAGACCTCGAATAATTCAAGCATCTGAACAATTTTCAAACCATGTCCGGCTATCGTGGAATTACCGCGGTGAAGTGTGACAGTGCGTGTCATAGCCACACTGTGTCATTTCATATAGTGTGTGAAAGGGTGGTTATGTGTTAAGCTTTGGAATGGGAAATATGGATATAATATAACATATATATTTATGTATATATATTATACATAGCATGGTTCATAAATTGCGAGAGCATCATTGTCCTTGTCTTGGGTTCCTCCTTTGCTTATAGCCCTTTCCCAACGGTGGTTTATTTAGGGCCATCTATGAAGCATGACATAAGATACCTTGCTGAACCGCCCCCGAAATGTTTTGCATAGACGCCAAGTTAAATTCATGCAAATGAGTATGGGAAAGACGTTTGAGAAGATCTAAACAAAACGAAACAAAAACATTACAATAAAAAAAAAAATTACAAACACGAGTCAAGGTTACACTAAATCTACCAAGTGAGTGAATCGTGTGAGTGGTCACATTACATTTTTAGGACTCTAGGTTTAGAAAAATAAGTGTGATTATTTCTATATTTAAAAAAAAAAGTCAGTCCACGTAATATACTCTGTGATCGAGCATAATGGTTACTGTAGCTACACTTGAAGCATGTTTATGTGTAGGTCTGGCTATATGTGTACTTTAGCATTTTCAAACCAATATTGCTCTACTGCAACACTGCCTGTTTTTATCACCATCAACAAAGAGACCTACGCATTAGCTATCTTTGCTAGTGTGTACGTGTGAGGGGCCAAGTCAACATACAGCATTAGTTTCCGACAAGGGCAGTCACCATGCATAGTTGTCATTTTATGCCATTAGAAATGGTGAAAGAACCCCCCTGAAACAATATTGTCCATACTCTGCCATAGCTAGCCAAAGTTTTGAAATGAATTTGCTAGCTGTTTCATATTTTGGATATTTAATCACGCCAGAATTCACCGTGGCACTATACACTTCCCATAGAAAGTAAAGAAACTCACTACTTAAACCGCTATCTTGTTTGTGGTTACTTTGACGTGTATTTTTCAGGACGTTTGTAACCATGATTGAATGGAAGAGATTTGAAAATATTTTTTTTTTCCTGCAGCCGTTACAGAAAACCAACATTAACTGTAAAAGAAACACTCCGCACAATAAATAAAATAAATAACATTTCAAAAAGAATGTGAACAAAACGTAAAAATGTAACGCAAAAACAATGCTTAGATCTGTTGTCATTTTAAAAACATTTCCTTTTTTTCATATTTTGTTTTAATACATCATTTAAAGATTTCTAAAAAATCAGGAAGTTGTATACAGAAGCATTCACAGACATCATTGTATAAAAACTGATACATAAGAGATTAGCATCAGTCAACAGTGTTTTACGTTAAAAATTCTTTGCGGGAATATTTCGTTATTATCAATAAATAAGAGCAGACAACAAACGTGTAAAGATTTCGGGAAAATAGGAGATTAGGAATAGTCTATGGCTTTAGCGGC